TTCACTATTACATGATAGCCCCAGAAGCAAGACCTTTAGGCATCCACAACCATTAGTTGCCCTGAATCCTCCTTTCTGCCTGGACTCTCATTGAGGCTCTTTTGGTGTTACACAGCAATTCTGATGACAATATGCTGAAGAACATTGAGCTGTTCGATAAGCTGTCCTTGCGGTTTAATGGGAGAGTCCTTTTCATAAAGGATGTGATTGGAGATGAGATTTGCTGCTGGTCTTTCTACGGACAGGGGCGGAAGATTGCTGAAGTCTGCTGCACTTCCATCGTCTACGCCACTGAGAAGAAGCAGACAAAGGTAGGCAGGAAACCCACTAGCGCTCCCTAGCAGCTGACCTCCACTACCATCAGACTGGCCTACGGCCTTCTGGTTTGAGGACTCTCTTTAATACCCTAGTCTCTCTGGACCATCAATGCCTGGCAAAAGGGAGAGAGTATAAAACAGGACAGTCAAAACTATCACTGTTCTTTGGGGAAGGGATTTTAGCTTGTAGTGGCTTGCACAACGGGGTCCTGATCTACCACAGAGCAGATAGACTGATCTCTGAGCCCAGTCATGCACTCACTGTTTTCAGGTTCCTGTGTAGAGAATTTATGAAAACAAGTAACCTTCCATTCATATAGGGTCTTACCTGTTCAGGGACGATCCTGCTGCTGTCTGCCCCTTAGGCAGGAATGACTCAGTTTGGGGGAGAAAATGTCAGGGCTGAGCTGAAGTTCACACCAGCCAGCAAGGTGGATCTCACCTCTCCTAATCTCTGCCTGTTCTGGGTGTCCAGGTGGAGTTCCCTGAAGCTCGCATATATGAAGAGACGCTGAATATTCTGCTCTATGAGTCTCAGGATGGCCGAGGCCCCGACAACGCCCTGCTGGAGGCCACGGGTGGGGCAGCAGGCCGCTCCCATCACCTGGACGAGGACGAAGAGCGGGAGCGCATCGAGCGCGTGCGGAGGATCCACATCAAGCGCCCCGATGACCGGGCACATCTCCATCAGTGAGCTGAGGGACAGGTGCAGACTGCATGGCTCCGTTCGCACAGCCGTGGCCTGACCTGCGACAGAACCAGGCGTTTTATTTATGTTCAGTGAAATCTGCGGTTTCCATTTTGTAATGAGAGGAGACGGCCGGGGGGTATTTAACAGGATGTAATTCTGTTAGAGAAACGAGGCATCGGGCACATGGTCAGCCTGGTAATGCCGTATCGGAGCACTTGGAAAATGCCTGTAAATTCGTAGCACTCTTTTCTACTGTCTCGTATTTAGGAAGGAAGAGAGTGACACCCTTCTGCTCTTAGTATTTATTCTGCACTTTTCCTTGGGATTTTCAAAACGGCCACCCACCTCTCTACAGGCTCCACGTTTGTCCAAGCCCCGGAGCCTAATATATAGGAGCAATGCAGCTGTCTGCCACAGTAAAGCTAACCCAACTGCTTTGCTGTAAGGTGTCCTTCTGACTGGACCCTTAAGGCAACAAGGCAGTGGGTTAGTAGCCCCAGAGGGCATCAGCCTTTCAGTTCCATGTCCTAGAGAATCCAGCTGCTCTGCTTGGGCTGGATTTGCTCGCTGTGGTACTGCTTTAGAACCAAAGCTGGCTGGCAGGTTCCAGTAAGCACGTGTAGGGCCTCTGCTATTAAGTACTGAGAGCTACCCTGTCTAGCAAGCAACTAAAAAGCTAGCCAAGGCACAGCGTAGCTTCTCTTTTAAACCTGACTTATAGTGGTTCCATGAAGCTAGTGCCATAGCGAGTAGTGGAGAACCCTCAACTTTCCTGTGGGCACAGTTAAAGGATGTGGGCTATTTCAACTCCTCAGTGAGGGGAGGGTTTGAGGAACAAGCTATACTTTACCGTCTTGCCTTAGGTGGCCCTTGTATCGGCCAGAGCTGGTCACTGCTAGATGCTTTCCCCCCTCTTGACCTCAGAGCGGAGTTTGCGTGTTCATGCTAGGCCACTGCTTCCCCACCTACCCCCAGCTCAACCACAAAGGCTTCTTCCCACAGCTGCCCTGAGCAGAGCTGCAGCATGGACTGCCAGCCCAGCAGGAGCCTCTCGGACTGGAGAGACTCCCCTTGGGAAGTGGTGTAGAAGCCCCTTTCAGTGTCTTGTGGACCATGTGCAGTTATTCCTTGTCAGTCCAAAGCTCCTGGGAAGCAGCAGCTGTGCGAGGGGGACAGAGCTGAAATCCTGTGTATAAAATACTGTATAGATCTAGTTTTCTAAGATTGCTCTTCTATTGCAAATGAATATTTTATCTACCTCCTAGTCTCTTGTTGCCTATTATGGAGTCAAGTAGCAATTGTAGTGAAATCTCATGTATTATTCAGAGGAGTTGGAAATTAAGGGATAAGAATAGGATTATAATGGTACCTACTGCTTCAGGGCTCAAAGCCAGTCCCTACTGGGCATGGAGGCCAGACCTTCTAGGGAGGAAGATCAGTAGACATCTTCCTCTTGTAGAGTCTCTTTCACTGGAAAGATCTGGTGCTGACCTCTGGAGAAAGGGATCTGGACTAGATGGACCACAGAGCTGATGCAATGCAGCACTTCCTCCCACCTTTTTCCCCCATAACCTGGTTGGCAGGAGGTTTGATGAAAGCAAGGGTTATACAGTGAGATAAGGGTGCTCTTGGTTCCAGCAGCGTTGGTCATGAAGTGATGTGTTAGCATTTGAAATACCAAAGGCAGTGCTCACCAGCTAGCATCACCACAGAAATCCTTAAACAGTCCCGCTCACAGAGAGTAAGCATTCAGCCTTCTCTGTGACGGGTGGTACAGCTCCAAGCGTAGGCTTAAAGAGTTTGCAGACCATTTCCATCAGCCAAAGAATTCAAGTGCTAAACCAATACTATCCTCCTGGCAGCTGTGTGTATAACATCCGTCTCAGCCCTCATGCATCAATATAAGCAGTGTCTGAATCAGACATCCAAGTTCCTGTGACACAAACTAGTCTCAAAACCAAGCAGAGTGAATTATAATCTAATTAAACTGCTTAGCATCGTGAGTTATCACTTTGTAACTTCCAGTCACAGGCTTCATTAAAGTGCAGTCATTTCTGTGCCATGTGTAATGCTGTACTAAGTCCCCAGAGAAGCCCTCACTCCTCACGGTAGATGGTTTGCTGTCAGTACAGCACGCACTCCCCATTTCTGGAAGTCGCAACGAAGGCCCTTTCCTTCTCCTGTCTCAGTTGGTCTCATTAAATGAGATGCCATGAGATCATCCTATCTTATTTTCAGTCTTGTGCAGACAGAAAAAGAACCCCTCCATGCTCACAAATTCTGAGGTTGTGCATTTATCAGACTGCATGCTCCAAGCTGGGCTGCATGTATGAGTCTGGTGTTTCCTCATTGGCCAAGCGCGGAGCTCTTGAACACTAAAAGGGGTCGCAGTGTTTGCTGTTAGAGCTGGCCAGGCACCAGCCTTGTGGCCACACAGCCATCACGCACTAGATAAGCCACTGGCATGAAATCTGCCTTAGCGCCTTGCTCAGTGTCGTTGTCCCAGGCTGTCCACATTCCCACAGGACAGCAACTTCCTTCTCACCCAACAATGGGTGTATTTAACCGAAGCGCGCGATCAGCGTTTAGAGCAAGGACCAAACCCAGACTCCCTCCACCTCCCACACGAGTGCAGTAACCACTGGCTCTGGGTCCATAACCTTCATTGTCTACTCTGGTACGGCTTCAAGAGGGGATGGAGAGTGCTGCCACCCTCACCGCTGATAGCCCAGTGCTTAGGGCCCCCCCGCCCCCCTGGTGGAGATTCACCCCGCCTCGGGCTGAGGCAGGAATAGAGCCCAGGGAGAGGCTGACAAGGAGGCCGCTGCTCTCTGCTCTGTTCTGGAAAAGAGAAGCTGACACTTACCTTCAGGAGAGGCGTCAGGGTCAGGATCCCAAGTCATCAGCAGGATGCAGGGCTAGGGCTTGTCCTCAGTGCTGAGCATTGGCCAGCTCCAGGCAGCCACACCTGCAGCCTGCCAGCTGTGGCAGGTCCTGTTGCGAGGTACCTGACTGCACGTGCACTGCGTAGGGCGCCTGGGCCCCCAACGCAGGCCACTGGCTTCCGCTGCAGAGACCAGGCACCTGCAACTTAGGCATTTCAACCCCTTAAGTGTTTCCCCTTTCAAGTTCCTACCTCTGCAGTCTTTAAGAAACAACAGCTTTGAGCTTCCTGCACTGCTTTCTTCTTCTGGTCCTTTTGATCCCGCTCCGTGGTAACATAACATCTCGTCCTCCCAGGGGAACACTGTTTACTGCTGGTGTAGGATCTACACCAGCAGTTCCTAAAGGGCGAAGGCTTTTTCTGCAAGGCAGGTTGTGAGTTAGAAGCAAGCGGTGAATTCCTGTGAGGGGCATTCAGTGCCTGCTTGTTGCTGCCTTAGCTGCGTAGTACAGCCCGACGGTCGTCTCCCGACCGAGAGGGAACCTGCAACATTTGATTGCATCTGATAATGGAAAGGAACTGTGACTCAGTGCCTGTGCTGACAGGAGCAGGAGAGTAGCCCCTGTTTGTAGTACGGGTCTGTTAAAAGGTAGAAGTTACAAAAAGCCTGGTGGGCCACAGCTTCGAACTCAGCTTGACCAGTTCAGCTGCTTATCCCAGCCTACAGTTGGTCAACCAGACTGGTCAAAGCTGCCCCGAAGCCGCCAGCGGGGCCTAGCCTGAAGGACTGATCCTTCAGTTCTCCAAGTTAAACCCCTGACCCAGAACAGGAAGTGTGTGAGCAGCAGGACTCAACCTGACCCCAGCCTGCCTTGCTGTTCCCTCTGGCTTGTGCTCCAACTCCACTCTTGATCTGCCAGCGCCTCGACCCTGCTTGCTCCCCGACTGTGCTTTCTGCCTGATCCCCTGGCTCCTGATTTGGCTTCTTCCTAGACCCTGTTCTCCGATTGACCTCCTGACCCGGCTTGTCCCTCCCCACCCTGGTCAGTACCTCGATTACCGAGTGTCCCGACTTGGCTGCCCACCACCTTGCATGGCAGAGTCTTGATCGCACACAATGAAGAATCAGTCGGGCCAGGGCAGAAGACTGGCAGTCCGTGTCCCTAGCTTGTACATGCAGCCTGAAGAGCAGGGCAGCGCCTTGCTGAACATGGCACATTACACACTGACAAGTCAGCTTTGGGCAGGTTTGCTGCACTTGCCAACATTTGACCAGACTGCTGGTCTTGGCAGTTTTCAGTGCCATCACGCAAAGCATCCTTGCTTTGAAGTATTAAGCTGTACTTCCAGCAGCTGCCTCCCTGAGGCTTTGCCTCCACACTCGCACAATGAATGGGCTGCAACACAACCAGGTTCTTTTTAGAGACCATTGCCCCTTGCAACCCGAGCACCTGGCAGCTGCAGAGGTGCGGCATTAACAGCGAATGGAAACAGTCCCTCATTTCAGACCCAGGGTTGACACTCCTCCCCCTCCACCAGGCAGTAATACTGACAGCCAGCAACATAGAGCTGACAAAGCAAGTTGTTCTGGGAAGGGTTTTTGTCTTTCAAGGTAAAGAGCAGCAGCTCACAGAGCTGCAACTCAAAGTGCTTTCAGGATAATGTCTGCACAGTGCTGAGAAGTAGAAAGAGCGGAGCTCATGGAAACAGTTTTAAAGCAGTTGGCACCCAAGCTAGCTACAGATGGCTGCACAGAGCTCAGCGTAGGTGAGCTGCTCGCTTATCCGCCCCGGGTCCTCAGCAGGCTGCTGTAGCTAGTTTTAAAGCTAGTGTGAGTTTGTCAGCTGCATTTGCACTGCTGCTTAGCTGCACCCTCAGTTTTTAATCTTAGCTTTTCACCGCATCGCTCCATTCCACAGGTTAGGCCAAGTGCGGCACTAATGAATTCAGCTGGTACAATCGGACCTCTCCACTGTGCACAGCTGTGCACCAAGAGCTCGTGCTCGAGTCCTGTGTACGGGTGGTGTCTGCAGTGTGGATTTTTCCATTCTTTTGGCTAGATGCAAAATAAATTAGAAACGTTTCATATTTACTGCAGTGTCTCTCCTTCTTGTTCAGTTCAAGGTAAGTGCCCATCACCACGTCTGCTAGTGTTACTTTCTAGCACCAGCTGTGGCAGAACAGCCAGCACCCTGGCACGCAGGACTCTCCCCCTTCGGAGTGTGTCCCCAGGACTTCAAGGCAGCAAGTGGCAGGTATTTCACATGGTTTCAGCTCATCCCAAGCAGATTTTGGAAGTCTTTGGGTTTGACTGGAGCAAAGGCACTTTTGTCTCAGCAAACCCCACTGGGGATACAGCTGTAGGGGGAGACAACCTCGTCTTCCCCCCACTTCTACACCTGCCATAGCACGCGCCCGTCGCTGGAACAGGGGCTGAGTACCCCTGCTGCCAGCAGCCAGGGTTGTTCCCTACCATGGGAGTTCGGGAAGGGAATTTCACCCCATTGCAGGGAGACCTTCGAAGATGCCTCACCTGGGGTCACAAAACCATCTTGTTCAGAAACTTCCTATCAGCCCAGCAGGTTTCAATGTCAAGCCAAAGACTGTTTTTTCACCTTTTATTTTCATTACTAATTCCAGTGCCCCATACCTCTCACAGTGCACTGCGTATAGCCATTAGCATAGGAAGAAACAACATGGAGTTACTTCAATAGAAAAAACTTTTCCCTACCCTAGAAAGCAATTGGCCAGAAAGAAAGCTGGGCATGTCGATGTCCCCAGCTGTGCAACCTCATCTGCTAAAATACTGATTCAGGTAACGAGACCTTTGCTAGCCCTTATCCCTACTGCATTCAGAGAAATCTCTGCCCACTCAGACTCGGTCGGATACTCGGTTGGGCTGGCTGTGCCAGCTTCGATGGTTGCCAGCGTTTCCGGGAGCAAGGGGGTTTCCAGCCCACAGTGCCAAGTTCCCTGATCTACCAGTTGTGCTGTGCTCCTGTTCAGTACAGTAAATGGCTCAGGAGCTGTGGCTGGGGAAAGCCCTTTTAGTTTTTTTCTACCCTGAAAATCTTTCCTGGCTGGTTAAAGGTCTCAGCTTTAATCTCGTGGGTGCGTAAAACCGATATTTTACACATTTGAGAGCTTCAGCTTTTGGTTTCAAGCATTGCACAATTGTAGCGCGCATCTGTCCGACTACAACCCGTGTACACTGGAATGTGACAGCAACCCAGTGGAATCTAGTTACCTAGAGCTGAATAAGCTCAAAGCTTAAAAAAGGAAATGGAAGAGCTTAAAAAGGCAAGTGAATGCTCAAGTCACAACAGTCCTGTGACCGCAGAAAATTCTCAGCCGCCGGACACAGGTGCTGATCCCATCCCAGGCTCCTCTCACAAGCAAAGATTGACAGACAGAACAGTGGGCCCAGCTTCCCATCAGGACCTTCCACTGGTGGCCACCTGCAAAGAAAGGAACGAGCCATTCTCAGCTCCTGGATTCAAGCTCGGGCAGGGGTGTCTGGAAGCAGAACTACACTGCAACCACCTGCAGGTCTGGGACAGCTACAGGCAAAGGCACAACCACATCGTATGGTATGTGTGCACCACTGGGGATCGGCACGAAGAGCCAAATAATGGACGGACAGCTCATTGCTTAGAATGGAGGCAACAACATGACAGGGCCAGGTGCTCCTTTGAGCTTGGTGCTGAACTTCATTGCCCATCTCTCACCATCTGCTAGTGCGGGCTGGTCTTATGCTCACAAGACCTTTGGGTTGATGGAAACAGATGTCTCCTCCTCCCACATGCTCCCCAAAGCCTGTTAAATACCCCTTCACGCTCCTTTCAGATTCCAGCAAGAGGAGGAAGTGAACATTCACATCACCCTGTACATCCAGGCACAGAACAGGATTCGTCCCTTCCAAAAGGGTCTCTGAAGAATAACCAACATTCCTCACGGGAGGCTGCCAGTGGTAGCAGAAGGGCCTGCTTTCTTAGGGAACCCAGGTCCTTGGCTTGCTTGGGCAACCATCAACATCACAAACCCAACCCGGGGTCTGACAAGGTGAGCTGGGCTCAGGCTTCAGCTCCCATGCTGCCATCAGAGCAGAGCAAGGGGTCTGCAGGCAACCTTAGTCAACTCTGCAGATGAACAACACAGAGGATCTCGCTCCCTG